TTACAAAATGGGTTAACAACAGATTTGAGAAAGTTGAAAGGAAAAAGTAAACTTAAAGATAGATCAGTAGATATTGTCCACTTTGAAGAACAAAAATTGAAAATTTTTTTTTCAATTTTTTTCAATTCAGACCTCTGGGACACATTAAGTGTATTCATATAAGTGTAATAAGAGTCCTAGAAGGAAAGGAGAGGAAAATGTATAGAGAAAAAAATGGCTGAAAAATTAACAAATTTTACGAAAAACCTTAGTCTACAGATCAAAGAAGTTCAATGACCCCCAAGTAGGATAAACACAAAGTGATCTATGATCCAAACCCATGTCTGTGGTATTTTGTTATGCCAGCCCCAGCAATCGAATACACCAAGAAGTGCCTATGTCAAAAGGTGATACTACAGAGCAGGTAGACACTCCATGTGTTTGCTATTCACTAGATAAATGCCCTCTATCTTTATTTAGCCACAGTGTCAGAAAAAAAAAAAAAGAATGAAAAGCAAGATTGACTGAAATTCAATTTTCTAGAGGATAGAAATAAAAATTAACTTGTTAAGGAAAAATAGTGAATTCCTGGACTGAGATTTGTACCAGCAACATAAGTATATAGCGTGATGAAATTTTATTTAAAAAAAAAAAAAAGACTGTCAGATATTCTTCCCAAATGTTAATGATGGCACTAGGAGATCTATATAAGACCTGACTACCTAGTCTAGCTGACCCTTAGTCACTAGCTTCTTGGCATTCTTGAACATAAAATTGCCAGTATTTTTCATTTCATCTCTTGTTTTTAATGTATATTTTCAAAATGTTTTATAATAAATATGTGCTAAATTTTTTAGAAGCTATTTAAGATAAGGCTGTTGTAGGGGCACCTGGGTGGCTCAGTGAGTTAAGCCTCTGCCTTCGGCTCAGGTCATGATCTCAGGGTCCTGGGATCGAGCCCCTCATCGGGCTCTCTGCTCGGCGGAGATCCTGCTTCCCCCTCTCTGCCAGTCTCTCTGCCTCCTTGTGATCTCCCTCTCTCTGTCAAATAAACAAATAAGAATTCTTAAAAAAAAAAAGAAAAGAAAAGATAAGGCTGTTGTAGTGTGTTACCTCCAAAACTTCTGCATTTTTTTTACTTCTGCATTTTTTTACCACCAGAATTTCCTGGTGTCTCATATTTCTTTACCCTAGAATTTTCTATCTCTATAAATCCTCCTTAATCACTTTCCTACATAATTAAAATTTTATTGATAGAATGTCTGTTCATATGAAAAAAATTTTAAGGGAAAATCATTATGTTTCCCATTTAATAAATCCTTTTCTTTGAAAACAGGGAAAAAAATGCAGTGTTGTCTGTTTATGGTAGACAAAGCTGTGTCCCAAGGAGCAGGAGGCACAGGATTTCATTACAGTTTGCCACTAACTAGTCAGGGAGCCTAAACACAGTTACTTCAGGTGTATTAAATATGTAAGGTTAAATAACATATAAGTAACTTCTATGTTTCTGATTTTAAGATTTTTGTCTAGTGCTCCATAGTGAAAAGAGACTTCTTCAATGTTGTTTTCTATTCAACTGCAGAAAATAAACTATAAGTTCTATTTAAATACTGAGAAAATACTGGAAAACTTTCAAAGTTTGAATTTCTAAAACATCAGGCAGATACCAGAATAGATGGTATAGAACCACAATGTATTATTTTCTTTACCTTCAGATATGCCATTCTTTAGTTATTTGTTTCATTGGTTGAGACTTAAATGAGTATCAAACAATAGCATGTTTGCATAGTCTTCAGCTTTTAAGATCAGCACATACATGTAGCCTAAAGTGGCTTCATTTCCCCAAAGGAAGAATTTCAGACAAAAATCTTGTCCTCAGTCACAAAATTTTTGTTACCATAGTGATGAGAATAAAGAATGGGGGGGAGAGCTAAAAATACCTGAACAAATACAGACAGCTTTAGGAATTTGACCTACTTGGTGTCATACACTGAAGAAGTTAATCAATTGAATTAACTACATATGCGTTAGGTGAAATAGTCTACTGGTTAAAAAATGCGTAGGTTGCACATCTGGAGCTATTATCCATAATCAAAGAAGTCAGTTATGAATGAAGATGACTGACAATCTAAAATGCATAAAACCAGATTCTTTTAAAAATGGAATATATACCAGAAGCAAGTAGAAAACCATTAATTGAGCTTCATTTCCCATAAATTTTCTGTTTTTCTTCCATTAGTTAGGATATTTCCATTTCAAATGAAAGCTTCTTATGCACCAAAAGAATTTTAACTGGATAGAGCAACATAATTGGACATATATTTAAAATTATGTTAGAGTGGCTCCTTTACATGAAAGAAAGCTTCCCAATTTTAGGCATTATAATAAAAACAATATGTTTTTAAACTAAGTTTTCTTCTGAAAATTCTAGTTTTAACAAGAAATTTAATAAACTCGGTCATTTGCAAAAAGCCTACTTCATCGCAAGGCATTAGGCTAGCCTGTGAAAGATCAATAAAAAGCAGTACTTGCTGTCAAGAGCATTTTAATCATCTGTCTAATTATGTTTTCATAACACAGACTTTTAAAGTATCTCTACATAGTAAGATGGGAACAACACTTAGCCTGACTTGAAGAAACCAGGAATAAAGTTCCAACTCTACTAGTGAGCTTAGAAAAGTCTTGTTCTAAGTCTCAGTTCTCTCATCTGTATAATGACCATAAGTTAGCATCTCACCACCTCTAGCACACACAGGTCCTTAAGATAATCAAAAGAGAGGGTGGAAACCAACAGAGAACATTCAATAAATAAGCTCTATAAAATGAACTAGTATTCAAAATAGTTCAACATTTAAACATTTTCAAAATAAAAAATTATAAAGATAACTAAATATACTTAAGAATTACTTAAGAACAATAATAGCAATCTTTACTGAGCACTTATATTGGGACACATATTTTAAATATATTATTTCATTTAAACTTCACAACAGTCCAATGACTTAGATAGTATTATCTTCCTTTTATGGTTGAGAAAAATAAGGCACAGCAGAGATAAATAAATTATCTAAAGACATATAGCTAGGGTGGTGAAGCCAGGAATTAAACCCAGCAAAGCTAATTCCAGACCTACGCTCTCAATATGTCTTTATGATGTACTCCAAAATAATCAGTAGAGGGAAATAGCTCTATGAAACTATTAATTTGTAAAAAGTTAGATTTTAAATTATTAACACTAATCAGTATAAGTTTCTGAAATGTTTAATTAATGTTATTTTGTTGTTTAACTTTTTCATTATTATTATTATTATTATTATAAAGAAAAATGAAATCAATTTAAAGGTACAACAGTAACTCATAGAATCTCTGTATGACAGATTATTATTCAGTTCTTAATAATGTTGTGGTATGATATGGCTCGGAATCTTGTAAGAATGAATAAGCAAAAAAAAGCAGATTTTCAAACACGTAGAAAATCTCAATTTTCATAAAAATAATGTCATGTACAGAAAAAAACTGGAAAGATAGACATCAAATGCTTATGATTGCGGCTTCTTAGAAGTTTTGTATATTTCTAGGCTTCCAAATTTTCTATAATAAACATTCAAGGTTTTTGTCATCAGGAAAAAAATGACTTAACCAATATAGACATGTTTAGTAAAGCTCAAAATGATTTTGGTGCTTCTTTCAGTCTATGAACAAATAGTTATTGAGAGTCTAGAAAACTGTTGTAGGTACTAAGGATACAGCAGTGGCAAAGCAAAGTCCACAGGTAATAGATTAGATAAATTCAAACTAAGAACTAAGAAAGAGAACTTCAACCTATAAGGAAACTTCAGCCTTATCACTCTGACCTTAATCATATCTTTCTACTGGCATGTGAGCCCTTTTCTTGTATTTATTTATTTATTTGAAAGAGCATAAGCAGGGAGGGGGGGAGGAAAAGGACAGAGTGAGAGGGAGAAGCAGGGTTCCCACCAAGCAGGGAGCCCCACGTGGGGCTTGATCTTGATCCCAGGACCCTGGGAACATGACCTGAGCAGAAGGCAGATGCTTAAATTACCGAGGTTCCTCCCTTTTGTTGTATTTAGAAGGGCTCCTGAAGTGTTTTATCTTCTTTTCTCAATTAAATTGTAGATACATCATCCATCATCTTTAGACCTAACAGCAAGCTATAGCATTAGTATGGTCACAGAACCATTGAGAAGAACCTTAAGTAATTAAGGTAATTTGATGAGACTTCCCCCATCTTGGTGACTAGTCTTTAGAGAAGGGAAGGGTATTGTTCTATTTAAATTATTAAATATTCTCAAACAATACTATCCTTTCACCTACTTACTGTTCAGAAAAGAAATGATTTTCTAACTGTAAGATTCTATTTTATTGAAATAGTTTATAATATTTAAACATTTAAACAATTACATTCTTCAGTACCCAATCTAACTATCCAGGAGAAAGCTTATTAAAATATAGTAGTTTAAAATAAACTGAGTTAGATATAACTTTTTTATATCAAAAAATATATTAGAATCTTAAAAACTTAAAACCAGGGGCGCCTAGGTGGCTCAGTGGGTTAAACCTCTGCATTCGGGTCCTGGGATCGAGCCCTGAGTCGGGCTCTCTGCTCAGCAGGGAGCCTGCTTCTCTTCCTCTCTCTCTGCCTGCTTTCTCTGCCTACTTGTGATCTCTGTTTGTCAAATAAATAAATAAAATCTTTAAAAAAATAAAACTTAAAACCATCTCCTCCACCCCTCTTAAAAAAAAAAAAAAGGCAGTATTGTATTAACTTCTTTTGACCTGTTCTTTAAATCTCTTCTTTCATATACATTAAAATAAGATTTTAAAATTTTAGGAAATGGATTTAAGGATAAGCTTAATGGAAAAAGAAAATGGAACAAAAATGGAACAATTTAAGTTATATTTAAATTAAAGAAGGAAGGAAAGAACAAGGGAACAAAGAAAGAGGGAAAGGGAACAGCAAAGAAAGGGAAAAGAAAACAAGAAATGGGAAAACCACTTGCCTCTATGGACCAGGTCCCAAACCTCATCAATTTGCTGCTGGGTTGGGAAATGACCACAGTCATTGAAGAACTTGAGGAGCTCACTTCTTTCTAATCCTTGCCAATCTTCTCTCTTAGCAAACATTGTTTCATAGACTAAAAGAAAGAGACAAAAGAAAATATTTTTCTTATAAATAAAATGTCAATAATGAACTACCAGAAAGCTTCATCTATATTCAAAGAAGCTTTCCCTCTAGTTTTATTTGTATATCTAGCGATTAGAGTAGCTCTATGTCAGCCTCCTGGGGAAGATTAGAAGGAAATGGGACATGCTTCTCCCTCCCACATCCCCTAGTAGTCAGATTTAGATCTGTTTCCCCAAAGAGAACACTGGCAGCCTCTGGCCTGGCTTACATTAAAACTGCCCATGGGCCATGCATACATCAAGGCTCAAGCTACAACACAAGACATAGCTTTAATGTCAGGGCTTCTGGGGGCCTGACTTTTACTGACCCATCTCAGTGCTCATTTTTATTTAGTTACCCTAATTTTTCCTTCTCTTTTTGGCTTCTATCTACACTCTAGCCACTTATATCAGTGACTGTCCTTTGGACTGCTTATTCTTCTTCTGATTTTGCCCCTAAATGGAATGATGCTTACTTTTGCCCCCTGACTTCCCGTATTTCTCCTTCCTAATTTGAGGTGACTGGACTTGAGTGACCACAGAAAGTGATCTTTCCACTCCTGGCTCAAGGTTTCCACAGAAAACCACTCAGTAGGGCCATCCTTTACCTATGTCCTATACTTGACAGTAACGGGGCTTAGATAATTAGCAAGGGGCTTAGATAATTAGCAAGGAAATGGATGCAAACATTTTATAAGAGTAGTTCTCCATAAACTTTTTAGTTTTTCTTTTCAAAAAGGTAATACTGAGTCTCTACTCTTAAGTATGATGGATTGCCCCCATGAAGGTGATTGTCAATCAGCATTTACAGGATGACAAAGTCTGCCTCAGTACAGGCTTAGCTCTGAAGTATGGGTTCCAAGTGACAAAGGGCCACAGAGTTGTCTCTAACAGGAGTCAGTGTATGATCCTGACACTCAACCACATGGACTCGACTTTCTGTTTATTCACTTATTCATTCAGTTGAAGTGGACAGTTATGAGACATTAATAAATTCAAGAAATATTGAGTGATTGCCTAAATATAAGCCACTATTCCAGATCTGGAAACAAAGCAGCAAAATAAATTTATATTTAGAATATCTATGGCTTTTCTCTTTTCAAATAAGCAACCTAGAGCATCTGCTGTTGGTACCCCATCCATACTGCCTTGTCCCTTACAATTCTACACTTGCTACCTTGACTTTCACTCATCAGCATCTCATTTTATTGCCTCAGGGCTCCCTCTGGCTGCAGGACTCCATTCTGCCCACCTGTGCAGCAAGCCAGAGTGCCAGAAAATTAAAGCCCCCAGTGCAGTGGTCCTCAACCCCAGACCTCCCTCAACTTGGAGTTGATGGATAAAGGCCCAGCACTTAAGAAAAGTTGTCTACACCGTTCCTTAGAGGGATTGAGCTCCAGTTGATGGTAACTGGTCTGATAATGCATTCTTTTACTTCCATCCCTTCCCTGTCTTAACTTCATTCCATTAACAGTATTTCCTGAGATCTACTTGCAGATTAGTTGTACTTAAATTCTTGTCTCAGGGTCTGATTCTGGATAAATCCAAACTAGCACACAAAGAAAGTCACTTTTTATTTTCTGGTTAAGGAAATATATTTCTCCTTGAAATAGTATATTTACCTTTATTAGTTTTTCATTTAATCAGTTTTAGATGCTTCTCACTAGATCAAACTAAGACACATATTAATATTATGGCCATTAATATTATGGCCATATTAAGTGCAATAGACAATAATGCACTTAACCTATATACTATGCTTGAAAAGCAAATGTTCTGCCACACACTAGCAGAGTTAATATTCCAGACAGGTTTAATCAGGGTCAATATAAAACTTAAATCATGAAAATTAAATGAAATTTTCTGGTCATTTGAAGATTCTTAAAAATGTATAGAGATAGGTATCTGCCAAATATCACCCAATTAGTCATCTACATATGGAAGGGATAGAGAATTTTCTGAGGAATATAAAGACAAATAAGAACTTGCAAATTCTGTGGACTCTAGAGTTACTTTAACCCTTAATGCAATTCCATGATATGTATAGAATCTCTCTGACTTCTTTCCTTAATCTCTAGCCATAGAAAAGGAGTCATTCTAACTCAAAGGATTCTGATTATCTGTAAATATCTTTTGGCATATAATTTTAGCATAAGTAATAAACTTAATGAAAACTATCAACAAATATTTCTGAGCCCTTTGATAAGCCAGGCATTCATTAATAGTGGCTATTTATTAAGGAAGGTTAATAGATACAGTCCCTGTCTTCATGGAACTTATAGTCCACTGTGAAATACACATTTTATGATTAGATGAAACTCTCCCAAAAATGTAGCACTTTTACATTATAAAGCAGAAAGATGCTGATTTCAATTAAATATAATTTACTTGCATAATTTTGTTGTTTTTTATTATTTTTAAAGACCGTTTTAAGAGTAGTTTTATTTTTTAAGGTTTTATGTATTTGTCAGAGAGAGAGGGAGAGAGAAGGAGAGAAGAGAGCATGAGCAAGCACAAACAGGAGGAGCAATAGGCAGAGGGAGAAGCAGGCTCCCCACCAAGCAAGGAGCCCTATCCAGGACTCAATCCCAGGACCCTGGGATCATGACCTGAGCCAAAGGCAGACGTTTAACTGACTGAGCCACCCAGACATCCCTCTGAGTGGTTTGAAATTCACATCAAAATTAAGAAGGTACAGAGATTTCTCAGATACCCACTACAACCACAGAAGCATAGTCTTCGTTCATTATCAACATCACTCACAGTTATACATTTGTTACTAAGGATTACACAACATAGTCTAAGTTCCACAGTTTATTTCAGAGTTCACTGTTGGTGTTGCACATTCTATGGGTTTAGACAAATATATAAGGACATGTATTCATCATTGCAGTATTGTACAGAATAGTTTTACTGCCTTAAAAATCCTCTATATTCTATCAATTCATCCCTCCCCCCAATCTGCCCCCAGGCAAATATAAATTTTTTAATTTTCTCCACAGTTTTGTATTTTCTAGAATGTCATATGGTTGGAAGCCTATAGTGTATAGGCTTTTCAGATTGGCTTCTTTCACCTAGTAATATGCATTTAAGATTCCTCTGTCTTTTCATAGCTTGATAGCTCATTTATTCTTGGCTCTAAATATACTCCCTTGTTCACATGTACTACAGTTTATTGATCTATTCATCTACTGAAGGACATCTTGGTTGTTACTAAGCTTTGGCAATCATGAAAAACCCATGTGTATAACCCATGTGTACGTTTTGTGTGGATATGTTTTTGATGCCTCTGAGTAAATACCAAGGAGCATGATTGCTGGATCATATGGTAACAGTATGATTAGTTTTATAAGAAACCACTACAATGTTTTCAAAAAGGGTTCTATCATTGGCATTCTCATTAATAATGTATGATAGTTCCTGTTGCTCCACATCCTTACCAGAATATGATATTGACAATGTTCTGGATTTTGGCCATTCTAATAGGTGTGTAGTGTATCTCACTGTTTTAATTTGCATTTACCTAATAACATATGATATGGAACATCCTTCCAAGTGCTTATCATCTATATATCTTCTTTGGCAAGGTCTTTGGCCCATTTTTTATTCAAGTTGTCTGTTTTATTATTCCTAAATTGTTCTTTGTATATGTTCAATAATAGCAGTCCTTATAAATGCATCTTTTGCAAATATTTTTCCCAGCCTGTGGATTGGAATCTCATTCTCTAAACATCCTCTTTTGCAAAGTAGAAGTTTTTAATTTTAATGTAATCCAGATCTTCCTTTATTTCTTTAATGGATCATGTTTTAGTGTTGTATCTAAAAAGGCACTGTATCAAATATCATCTATGTTTTCTCCTATCTTACCTTATAGAAGTTTTATTTTTTTGCACTTAGGTCTATGATCCATTTTGGTTAACTGTTGTGAAGGATGTAAGGTCTGTCTTTAGATTTTTTTTTTTTTTTTTTGCATATGGATAGTTAGTTGTCCCAGCACCATTTCTGAAAGACTATCTTTCTGTTATTGTATTTTTTTTCTCATTTTTCAAAGACCACTTGGCTGTATTTTAGGGGCCTGCTTCTAGGCTCTCTATTCTATTCCACTGATATATTTGTCTATTCTTCACCAATACCACACTGTTTTAATAATTGTAGCTTTATATTAAGTCTTGAAGCTATGTTTCATCAGTCCTTCAACTTTGTTCTCCTTCAATATTGTGTTGGCTAGTCTTGTCTTTTGCCTCTCCATATAAACTTCAGAATCAGTTTGTCAAAATCCACAAAGTAACTTGATAGGATTTTGAATGGGATTGCACTGAATCTACACATCAAATTAAGAAGAACTGACTTCCTGACAATATTGAGTCTTCCTTCCCATGAACATGGAATATCTAGCCATTTATTTAGTTCTTTGATTTTGTTTATCAGAGTTTTATAGTTTTCTTCATAGAGACCTTGTACATATTCTGTTACATTTAAACCTAAATATTTCATTCTGGGGGTATTAACGTAAATGCTGTTGTTTAATTTCAAGTCCACTTGTTCATTGTTGGAATTTAAAAGAAAAAACAACTAACTTTGGGATATTAATCTTGTATCCTGCAATGTTGCTGTAATCACATCTCAGTTCCAGAAGGTATTTTAGTCAATTCTTTCAGATTTTCCACACATATCAATCATGTGAATAAAGATAGTTTTATTTCTTTCTTCCCAATCTATATGTCTTTTATGTCTTTTTCTTTTTGTCTTATTGCATTATCAAGGACTTTAGTATGGTGAGGAAAGGAGTGGTGAGAGGAGATATCCTTGTACCTGATCTTAATGGGAAAGTTTAAAATTACTTACCATTACCATACCAAGTATGATATTAGCTGTAGGGTTGTTGTAGATAGTCCATTAAGTTGAGAAAGTTCTTCTCTATTCCTGGTTTACTGAAATTTTATACTACAAATGGATATTGGATTTTGTCAAATGTTTTTTCTGTATCTATTGATATGACCATGTAATTTTTCATTTTTAGCCTGTTGATATGATGGATTACATTAATTGATTTTCAAATACTTAGCCAGTCTTGCATACCTGGAGTAAATTCCATTTGGTGGTGGTATATAATACCTTTTATACTTTTTTGGATTTTATTTGCTACTACTTTATTGAGGATTTTGCATCTATATTCAGAGAGATTCTGTTCTGTAGTTTTCTTATAAGGTCTTTGCCTATTTTTGGTGTTAGGTTTATACTGGGCCCATAGGATGAATTAGGAAGTATTCCCTCTGCTTCTAACCACTGAAAAAGATTATAGGGAATTGGGGCACAGTTAAGTGTCCAACTCTTGAATTTGGCTGAGATCAAGATCTCAGGGTGGAGAGACAGAGCCCCATGTCAGGCTCTACACTGGTAATGGAGCCTGATAAGTTTCTCTCTCTGCTCCTCCCCTCCTGCTCACATGTTTTCTCTCTCCCTCTCAAAAAATAAATAAAATTTTAAGTGTTTAGTAGAATTCACCAGTGAAGCCATCTGGGCCTGGTGCTTTCTGTTTGGAAGGTTATTAATTACCAACTCAATTTATTTAATAGACATAGGCCTATTCAGATTGTCTCTTTCTTCTTGAGTTTTAGCAGATTGTGTGTTTCAAGGAATTGGTCCACATTGTTTAGGATATTAATTTTGTAAATTAAAGTTGTTCATAGTATTCCTTTATTTTCCTTTTAGTGTCCAAAGTACGCATGGAAATATCTTTTTCTGATATTAATAATGTGTGTCCTTGTTCTTTTCTTCTTGGGCAGGTTTGTTTGTTTTTCTCCTATTACTTTAGGTTTTGGTTTTTTGTTTTTTGTTGTTTTTTTTTCCTCTCCCACCAGTTTAAATATTTCACTCCCTTCTTGCTTGTATGGTTTCTAATAGATTGCATGTAATTTTTATCTTTCTTCCACTATAGGCTAGGTGCTTTTTACATATGGTTTCTTTCAGGATTTTTTATCTTTGATTTGCTGTAGTTTGAAGATGATAATGCGTATACCAAAGTAACTGTAATTTTTGGAATTTATTCTGCTTGGTGTTCTCTGAGATTCTTGAATCTGTGGCTTGGTGTCCAAGAATAATTTGGGGAAATTCTCAGTCATTATTTTTAAATACCTGTTCTGTTATTTTCTCTCTTTCTTCTCCTTCTGGTATTCCCATTATCCTTATGTTACTCTTTTTGTAATTGTCCTATAGCTCCTGGATATTTTGTTCAGGTTTTCTTCTTTTTTTTCTTTTTAGTCTTTACTCTCTTGCTTTCTCAGTTTTCAAGGATTCTACTGATTTATCCTCTAGCTCAGGAAGTCTTTCCTCAGCCATGTCTAATCTACTAATAAGACCATCAAAGGCATTCCTCATCTCTATTAGTGTTATCTCTAGCATTTTTTTTTTTTTGTTCTTTCTTAGGAATTCCATCTCTGCTTACATCACCCACTTGTTTTTGCATGCTGTCTACTTTATCCATTAGAGCCTGTAGTGTGTGAATCATAGTTGTTTTAAATCTCTGATCTGATAATTCCAACATCCCTGCCATTTCTGGTTCTGATGCTTTGTTTATTCAAACTGTGCTTTTTTGCTTTTTTGTATAGCTTTAATTTTTTCTTGATAGTCAGACGTGATATATCAAGTAAAAGGAACTGTTTTAAATAGACCTTTAGTAATGTGGTAGTAAGGCATGGGAGGAAGTGTTCTACAGACCTATGATTAGGTTGCAGTCTCTTAATGACCTTGTGTCTCTGGACTGTAAATTATACAAGCGTTTCTTGTTTTTTTTTTCCTCTCCCCCTATAGGTGGAACAGGATGGCCAAAATGAACTGAAATTGGGTATTTCTCTTCACCATGTCAGTTAAGTTCAGAAAATAACCCAGCAGCTAGCTCCGGTTAACTAATTTCTCCTGAATGTAGACCTTCTTAAGAAAAGTGTGCTCGGGGCGCCTGGGTGGCTCAGTGGGTTAAGCCTCTGCCTTCAGTTCGGGTCGTGATCTCAGGGTCCTGGGATTGAGCCCCACATCGGGCTCTCTGTTCAGCAGGGAGCCTGCTTCCCGTATTCTCTCTCTGCCTGCCTCTCTGCCTACTTGTGGTCTTTCTCTCCCTGTCAAATAAATAAATAAAATCTTTAAAAAAAAAAAAAAGAAAAGAAAAGAAAAGTTTGCTCTAGCAAATTTCAAAATAGTTCTCTTTTTCTGATATTTACTGTGGGAATCTGGTCAAGCTTCTAGAGGTAATTACATTGATACTGTGGTTTTTAACTCTCAGAATTGTTCACATTGAGCTTCTAGCTATTTGCCAATGATGGTTCAATTTTCCTAGCTGGCACTGGTTCTTACATCAAATTCTTTTTTTTTTTAAATTTTAATTCCAGTATAATTAACATACAATGTTACATTTGTTTCAGATGTACAATATAGTGATTCAATAATTCTCTACATTACTCAGTGCTCATCATGATAAGTGTACTCTTGATCCTCTTCACCTATTTCATACATCCCCCCACCACTTTCCATCTGGTAACCACCAGTTTGTTCTCTAAAGAGTCTGGTCTTGGTTTTTCTCTTTTTTCTTTATTCATTTGTTTTATTAAATTCCACACGAGTAAAATCATATGGTATTTGTCTTTCTGTGACTTATTTTACTTGGCATTTACTCTAGATCCAACCATGTTGTTACAAATGGCAAGATGTAATTCCTTTTTGATGGCTGAGTAATGTTCCATAGTGTATATATACCACTTCTTCTTTATCCATTCATTTATCAGTGGTCACTTGCACTTGCATTGCTTCTATAATTTGGCTATTGTACATAATGCTACAATAAATATATGGATGCATATATCATTTTGAATTAGTGTTTTTGTATTCTTTGGGTAAATATACAGTGGTGTCATTTACTGGATTGTAGGGTATTTCTATTTTTAGGTTTCTGAGGAACCTCCATGCTATTTTCCACAGTGGCTGCACCAGTTTGCATTCCCACCAATAGTGTATGAGCGTTCCTTTTTCTCCACCTCCTTGTCAACACTTGTTTCCTCCCACATTCATTTCTACTCATGAGTCTCTGCTCCGGGAAACTGCAACTCACTGTATGTCAGTCTCTTTAATCTTGGTGGCAGTGTTTTGACCTGTGTCTTCTCTTCTCTTATAGACCCATGAAAAGAGTAAATTTTTTAGTCTATTCAGCTTTTTCCCTTGTTGTTAAGATGGAGTGGAGATGTATAAGCTCCTTATATGTAGAACCAAAAACAAGAAGCCCTCGTTTATTATTTTTTTAATCAAGACACTGGTTATAATGTCCATCCTAATCCTAAGCAATGTAAATTCATTAAATATTATAGGAATGAGGCTCTCTGAAAGCTAAGATATATATTAGGGAAAGCGTTCTGTGGACAAAATATCAACACTAACAAGTAACACATAATAGATATCTATTTAGTCTACTTGGTGTCCATTAGCTATTCTTATGTTAGCAATATGTAGTTTTCCTTTGGGGAGCTACTCCTCCCCCAGTGGATAGAGCTTCTGTGCAACTCTCAAGCAAAGTTCTCTGCCCTCCCATGGAAGAGTATTGGACTCATGATTCAAATTAAACCAATCAGGTGCTCTCTCTCCTTGGAATTTGAACTTAAAGCATAGAAACAAAAAAGTCTTAAAAGTGATAACAGCTTATCTATCTCCCAAAGTCAAAAAGAAATTTTTCCTTACATTTTGCTCTCTAAATCTCTGAAGTAGCTCTGTTTTTAGTGCGTTTTTTGTTTGTTTTGTTTTAATATTTTATTTATTTATTTGAGAGAGAGAGAGAGCATAAGCAAGGGGAAGGGGCAGAAGGAAAATGAGAAGCAGACTCCCCGCTGAGCAGAGAGACCCACTTGGGGCTCAATCCTAGGACCCTGGGATCATGACCTGGGCAGAAGACAGCCACTTATCCAACTGAACCACACAGGAGCCCTGAAAATAGCTCTGTGTTGAGTTCTGTATGAAATCTGACTCTTAAGTTACATTTCCTGTATTTTTCTTTTAAATTTCCTTTTTGCTTTGGTTAACTAGACTGGGTTTTCTGTTGCTTATAAACACAGGATCCTAATAAATTAAATGAAACATACATCACTTTAAAATGCAAATAGCCTCCAGATATTGTATGGAAGTATTGACTCACCATATTATAGACCTGAAACTAATACTACATTGCATATTAACTAAGTGGAATTTAAATAAAACGTTTAAAAAATCTTTTAAAAAAATAAAATGCAGGTAGATTTCAGGATTATAAAATAGATTTACCTTTGGTGTCTATGGATAATTACATGTAAATTATATATAAAATTCCAATGGTTGAATGAATTCCAAATTTAAAATCAAACCAGGAATGACTGTATCACTTACACTTTTTTCTGTCCATCCATTCCTCTAGCTCTGCAAAGTTTATAATTTGTCTTGTCCTCCAAAGACCAAGTCGATATTTAACACGATGGATCTGTCTACGATACATCTTTATAACTGCTCTCAAATTTGGTCCATGAGACAAAGCCTATAAAACAGCAATATAGACAGTAAAGCCCCATATTTACATATTTCTTCTGCATATATTTAATCTGATTTTTCCCTTTTCATTTCATCTATTTCACCCAGTTTCTTAAATTTTGGATGTATTTATTAATGTTTATTGTGTAGGTTGCCTAAAACACACGCACTGTAAAATAAGATAATCTTGAAGCTCAGAGAGCCTCAATATGAAAAACTTTGTCATCAGATACCCATAGCTCCCATAGCATAGAATTTTCAAAGATGGCTACCTTCATGGAAGCTTCCTAGGCTGGGCATCCTGATTTCTATAATACGTAACCCACTTGACCATGAAAAAAAAAAAAAAAAAGTTTTATTAAGGCATTATTCTGTAATGGTGATTCTTGCCTAGGCTGTTCACTAGGGGTACTCAAATCTGTATTTATTCTCTTTCTTCTAAAAATTGTATATTACTATCTTTTACTTAAATTTTCCTGGACTTTTCAGGTTTTTCATGTTGATTTCTAAAACTCTTTAATCCTTTTCAGCAAATGTACAAACTTTGCTTTATCAGTTTGCCTTTTAACTGTGACTATATATTTATATAAATACATTTTCCACATTCTATTGCAATAGATTTTAAAAATTAAATTGTAAAAAATAATATATTTCAGTGTTTTTTTTCTAAATAAATAGTTCCATTTTATTTATCAATTCAATTATTTTTACATTTTACATTTACTAGCTCAGTAATTTCTCTATTTATCTTTATGAATTCCTTTTTAAAGAATTATTTTCCTATTCTTGACTTTCTGAATTGAAGACTTAATTCATCTATTTTCATTTTTTTAAGAATGTATTTAAGTCCATGAATTTTTTCTCTAATAATTACAAAAATAATATTGGAATATAAAAGACTTATAAATTAGTAATTATAAGTTTTAATCCATGTTGACTTAAAGGGTAAATGCATCATACTTACCATACATCAATGTTTGAAAATTTTTCTAGTGTGCACTTTTAGTCTGACTTATGGTTGATATGGTCATATCTTGTTTCAAAAAAGTAATGAATGGATTGCTTGTTTGGAGAATTTCACTACCTTATGACACTTAGTTGGGCTTATTTTCTTAGATAGCTTAGATAGCTAGAGTCCTCTCTTTTCTTATTTATTTGCCACTTGTGCTTCTTCTACAGTAAAGTACTAGTTCATGTCTTCTACCTATTTCTTTTATTGTTATGATAGTGTGTTTCTTATTAGTTTATAAGAGATTTTTACATGTTGAGTTTTTTTTTAACACTGGGGCAGTATCGAATGTTATCCACAGTTCAACTTTTTAACTTTTAAAAAATGATGTTAGACATATAAGTAGATAACTTGCCCATATATATGAACTGAAGTCTAACCTTGTCTAAACACTTGCATATGACATTATCAAAAAGGGTTTTTATACAAAAACCTTATTAAAACAAAGCAGGAAAAGGTTTTTAAATTTAAAACTAGGTTTTTAAACCTAGTTTAGTCTTTTAAACCTAAACTAAAACCCAGTGAAATAAGGATTGAATATTCTGAATTGTTACCTTACACATACATACATAAACACACTTATAAGTATACAAGCCACACATAATGTTAAATGTAATTTTTGTTTTCACTTCCCCATGCACTAAAGAATTAGTGAAGCCCTTAGCCACACACATGTGTGTAAAGAAAATGTCTCTCTCCTAGGTTGGATCCTACTCTCTTCAGGCCTCTTTTCTGTGTCAGCTGCCACTCACTTTGATCTTGAGCAGAATGATTATAACATACCTGAAGCACATGCTTAATTTTTCTATCTCTAATTGCTTAGTATAAAGACTGCGAGTACAAACTCTTGGTCAATGGTATCACTGAATCTTGTCTTCCTCTCATGCATCTCTGCAAAATTTAAGTAGCAACTTCTAGTTGCCACACAATTGGTGCTCCTTTATATCAATACAGTTCAGGCTCTCCAAATCATGTCTCCGATGTGACCACATACCAATTGGCTCTACATCAGAAGGGAGTTTTAATCTAATTTTGGCTTTTGGCAGGACACTCCAATGTCTATGTTGAGCCCAGCCTAAGAAAAGACTCCACTATTTTGCAATGATCGTTGAATACTATTGTTACCAGAAAGGTCTAATGTTTTAAAGTGTCTAGAACTAGGCAGACTTAGGTTTGATACTCAGAATTCAGCTATGCCATTGGATGGATCTCTAACTTTAGACAAGTTTTGTTACCTCTCTATGCCTTACTTTTCATAGCTAGTAAAGATAATTATATAACTTAGAGGAATGGTACCACTTCAAATCTTCATCACCAACCTCTCTGGATTCTCAAAGTGGCATCAAAATTCACCTATGTTTTTCTGGGCATCTCTCTTTTTGTCATTTTCTGTAGAAACTCAACCTCCTCAAACATTCAAACTCACCTTCTAAACACTCACTCTCAGCAAATGACCTTGTCCCCCACTTCACCAAGGGAAAAACATTAGATTATTGTTATCTCAACTTCCGATCATCAATCGAAACACTCAGCAACATCCTTTGGTCCCATAACAGAGAAATATGTCTCTTTTACCTAAGGTTAATACTGTCAGGTGTCTTATAAACACAACCCCCTCCAATATTCTTAGCCTTCTAATATGGATTATCCTCACCTCTCTTATATCATCAAACTTCCCCTCTTATTGGCTTTTGCAATAAACATTTAAATGTACTTAATTATTTTCCATTGTAAACTATTTTTCGCTATACCTCATAGTGTCTCTTAGATGTTTTCACTTCCTTGCTTTCCACATCACTCCAAAGAAATTTGTAAAGTTCATCCATGAACTAACTGTTGTAAAGACAGAAAATTCTGTCTAGACCTTTATTCTTAGCAGTATTGGAGATTAGTGACTCCACCTTCTTTCTTAATACAATATTCCCCTGGCTCCAGTCAGTATCACTAATAATGACCTCAAATATACAGACGGGGGCATAGTACAAGAAGCATCCTTGGTCAGGGAGCTGAATCAAAATATTTAGAAAAAATTTTTTCAAATTTCACATCCTCTCATCCAAATAAGGTATTATACATCCTCCATCATGTTGAAAATTACTTATTTTAATTTATATACTTTATGTAATTTAGCTAATGAATTAGGAGTCTATTATGTAACAGGGTATTCTACACTTTGTGAACAGATTAATGAACACAGAAGGCAAAATTCTTGTCTCAGGGAGTTACATTGTAATGGAAGAAACAGTAATCCAATAAACAAATATCTATGTGCTGGTTGGCAGTATGTGGTTTGAAGTCTTTTAAATAGAACAAGGAGTGACCAGACTGGATGTTACCTCTTTACAAGGCAATATGGAGCAGGTTTTTGATAATTAACAATGAGCACAGACCTGAATGAAGGGAGCCATGCAGCCACCTAGGTAAAGAACTTTCTCAGGAATAACATGAGAATCACTGCTAAATGGGGTTACTTTAATGAGTGGGAAGGTTTTATTGTCTTCCTGAAGTGTGTTAAGGTAGAAAAGAATTCAAAAACTACTGAAGAAGTCTAAATGTTTCCTTATGGCCCAATCTTCCTTCTGAGTTTTGGACCCATATATTCAACTGCCTCCCAGATATCTCAAAGATTTCCCACAGGTAATTCAAAGCCAGTGTTGGAAACTGGACTCTATTTCTTTTTCTTTCCTTCTCTCTCCTACCTGCTCTTCTTCTTAAATTCTGTATTTCACAACCATCCACCAGGATGCCCAAGACAAGAAGCACAAAAATTGAGGAATTGTTATTGACTCCTCTCTCTCCCTTACCTTTAAATCCATTCAAACCCAGTGTCCTGTCTCTGTTCTATCTCTCCAACCCTAACTCAAGTCTCTGTTATCACACACCAAATTACTGAAAAAGATACTAGTTGTCCACCTTCTAATTCTGTCACCCTTGTCTCCCAATTCACTGCCCAGAGTCAGTAATCTTTCTAAAAGGCAAATCAATTAATGTCACTGATTGGCTTTAAAATCATCCATTCCCATATACTAAGTAAAAGCATAAACTCCTTAGCATGGTTTTTAAGAACATGCTTAATTAGGACATCTTGGTGGCTCAATCAGTTAAGCATCTGCCTTCAGCTCAGGTCATGATCCCAGGGTCTTGGGATCCAGCCCCACATGGGGCTCCCTACTCAGCAGAGTCTGCTTCTCCCTCTTCCTCTGCAGTTTCCTCCTGCTTGCACACTCTTGCTCTCTCTCTCGCTCTCTCTTTTCTGTAAAAAAAAAAAAAAAAAAAAAAAAACAACAACGTGCTTAATCTGACTGCTATCTCAGCTTCCTCTACTGCCAATATCCGCCCAAGCAGCTCTTGGCCCCTCAATGTTCTACCTCACCTACAGTCATTGATTGTCTTTTACTGTTCCTACAACTCTCTCAGCCTATCAGTCTTCCTGACAAAATATAACTACCCCTCATTTTCTGGATCTCAATGTATTGGCACTATCCAACCCCCTCACCAGACAATCTTTTGGATTAAATGGTCTTCCTAAGTTCTCTAATAGTACCTAAGACTTCTTTTAATTATCTGCATGTCTCTCTAGACTATATGCTCTATGAGATCACACACCAGACAAGAAACTGGATCCAATACATAGTAACTGTTATAAAAAAAAAAATTAACTTTTCTGTTCAATGTCACCTGTGCTATGGGGACCAAAATTGGGCTCCAGGATTTTCTTATTTTTGTGTGTGTGTGTTTTGAGATAATGGGAAGAAATCCATACTTTATCAAATTTTCAAAGGGTTCTGTGACCTCCAAAAGGTTAAAGACCACTGGTTTATGCATAGTCTATTACTATGGTAACCTTAATACTCAGATTTTTCAGAACTATTCCAAGTTTATTTATTCAACAAATATTTATTCAAAGATGATTGATTTTTAACACTTTCTTGTTGCAAACATGAGCTCTTCAAATGCCCTAGAATTTCAGTATTTTGGGCAAATAGCAAATGAATATA